AGTGACATGGCTGGTGGTTGAGGAGCGATGGTCACCATGGCAGTCAGCAGCGGCAGAGGGGGAGCGCAGTGGTCAGACTCAGGATATATTTTTGGGGGCCGCTGTCAGCATTAACAGATGCATTGAATGGAGAAACAGCAAGGATCAAGAACAGTGCCCAGGCTTTGAGCCTGAGCCTCAAGACAGAGCAGAAGGCCTTGGAGAAGTGATCTGGCCACCTGGCAAGTTGGTGGTGGAGCCAAGACCAGAGAACCCCAGTATCCAGGAGAGCCTGGGATCCGCGCCCCTCCCCCACCTCTTACCACCTGCCTTAAAAATAGCATCAGCTCCAAGTCCAGCAGCCTGGACACCAAGGTCATTGAAGTGACCCTTACACGAGGCGGACACTCCAGAGCCCCGTGCCTGAGAATGCTCTGGGAGGTTACCTGTGCACCTGGCAGCCTGCTGTGTCACGGCAGCCTTGATGAATAGAGTACAGATTAGTGACTAATTATAATTGCCACCACTTAATCACCGTGGCCAAGGCTTGGCTAATTTCCAGAGCTCGGTTATCACCTGGGTGCAATAGTCTATGATCCTCTGAGGGCTCAAGCTCCTTAGTTTGGAGCTTTGATTGACCTAGTAACCCCAAGACACAGCATGCAATGCTCTGTGCCCCAGCACGTAGACAGTTCCACTTCTAGGGAGGCCGGCTGGGCGCATGCGCCAGACCACAGCTCGCTCTGAGGGCCCTTGTTCAGGGAGGAGCTGGCTTATTTTGCAGAAGCTGAAAACCCCGACCTTCAGAACTTGGGAAGCTGCGTCATGTTGAAGTCTAGCCGCCGCTACACTAGTATCATATTGCCAGCATTGCAGACACCCAGCAGAGGAGACCGATTCTGTGACACTTCCTGGGGCCCGACATAGACCAGAAGTCCTCTGGTGGAAACTTTGTGATGACTCTTGGTTTCCATTTTTCACCTGAGTGAAGATGAGCCACTTGCCCAAGGTTAGACGCACACATAGGATTCCCACCCAGATCTGTCAGGTCGTGGGAACATTTATCCTCTGTGGCGGGCGCCGTCCTAGGCATAGAGCAGTGAAAAAGATCACCCTGGTAAAGTTTCTAGTTCAGAGGGAGAGACAGACAGATGCGTACGATCGAGGGGGCGAGTTCTGTGGGAAGGGACAGAGCGTCATGGGGTGGGGGTGTCGGGAGGCCCCTCTGCGTGGGAGATGCTCGAGCAGAAACCTGAACGTGGAGGGGGACCCCACGTGAAGCTGTGAGCAGTGAGCCTTCCAGGTGGCGGAAACAGCCATTGCAAAGGCTCTGTGGAAGGAACATTCTAGAAGGGAAGGTCAGGGAGTCGGCCGGAGGCCTCCTAGGTCATGGCAGGGTTTGGATGCGGTTCTAGTGGTGACAGATTTCAGGTCTGCATTATCGCCAAGGGAATAAGAGAGCAGAGTGCCAGGAGCCCCGACTGGAGTCCCGTCTCAGGCGGGGAGACGGTTCTGGGGTTGGGGAGCAGCCAGGGCGGGGAGGGACCAGGGAGACTCGGGGGTGGCCGCGTCCTAGTCCGTCAGACCAGTGGTTCTCATCCTTGGCTGTGCGTGGTCAGAGATGATTCCCCGACGTTCTGATCAGAATCTCCTGGAGGTGCACTCACTGGGTCCTCCTGTCCCACCGGACTGGAGCCGGTGTCAAAGGAGAGGTAGACGGAGCTCCAGCGTCAGCTGATGACCGGAGAACATGGCGCAGTTTGCTGGTTGAGTGTGCTGACATGTCCCCCCAAGGGAACCCACCGGCCCTGCCAAGCTCGCTGCCTGGGGGGTGGGCAGGCAGGCGGGTCCTAGAGAGAGGAGAGACTATCAGACGAGACCCAGTCTACAAGTCACCCTCCTGCCCCAAGTAGTGGGGGGGGGGGGAGGGCAGGTAGAGAAAGAAGCTGGGATGCCCGAGGCCAGGGAAAGGAGGGTCCCATATGCCCTTCAAGGTCAAAAAAAGGAGCCCTTTTAAAAAAAAATTTTTTTCTTATTGATATTAGAGAGGGAGAGAGAAACATCGATGAGAGAGAACATCAATTGGCCGCCTCCTGGATGCCCCCCACTGGGGATCGGGCCCACAACCTGGGCACGTGCCCTGACCGGGAATCGAACCAGCACCTCTTGGTGCACGGGTCAACACTCAACCACTGAGCCACACCGGCTGGGTGGAGCCCTTTTTTTTTTTTTTTTGACAAACTTCTCAGATAATGCGGATGTTCCTTGGGATTTGAGAATTTGCATTTTAGCTAATGCACATAGTCACACGCCTACACGGGGCGGGGTGCTGAGTACTGGATCCTGAGACCTTGTGACTTTCCCTGTGTCAGAAATACCCCATTTGAAGCCTGTCTTAGTACTGGAATCATAAAGAAGTTGACCTAGAGATTTGAAGAGTTGATTCATTCATTCCTTCATTGAAGAAACATTTTTTGAGCTCGTATGTGTGGAGGGCTTGGACGTCCTCATGAAGAACAATAAAATGGAGTGAGTGGTCAGAGAGCCCTGCGTGAGGGACAGTGGACCCCAAGGAACTAGTGCTCTAGAGGCAGTTCAGAGAGGAGGTGATGGTCGAGCCACGTTCAAGGCTTAAGTGGTGGACAGAATAATGCCCCCACCCAAGATGTCCATGTCCTAATCCCTGGAGCCTGTGAACATGTCACCTTACATGGCAACAGGGACTTCCTAGCTGTGATTAAGTTAAGGATCTTGAGATGGGAGGTTACCCTGGATTACCTGGGTGGGCCCAGTCTAGTCTCGGGGTCTTTAAGAAGGAGGCAGGAGGAGCTAAGTCAGGGTAGGAGATGGGATGATGGAAGCAGAGGTTGGAGGGCTGGAGGAGGGGCCACACGTCGAGGACAGCAGGTGGTCTCTAAAGGCTGGAAAAGGTAAGAAAACAGATGCTCTCCCAGACCCTCCAGAAGGAGCCGGCTCTGCCGACACCTTGATTCTAGGATCTCTGGCTCCAGAACTGTTACATAATAAATCTGTATTTCTTAATAATTTGTTACAGCAGCCATAGGATACTCATACATCTTCCTCTGCATGAAGCACAGCTGTGACGATGTACTGTTATTATCAGAAAATGTTTCAGCAGAGGGGCAAAGTGATCTCAGATGGGAAGAGCAAGGGAGGGGTTAAAACGAACACTGACCAATCCCAGAACCATTGCCATGGCATCAGAAGGCACAGAGACCGCCCCCTGCATGGTGAGGGTCTCCCTGAAGACCCACAGTCAGAGGCACACAGCCTGGCGTGGGAGCGGGTGGGAGATGACCCCCGCAGGCCAGGCTGCAAGGCATAGACCGGCTCCTGTGGGCAGATGGAGGTGGAGGGACCAGTGAAGATGTGCTTGGGGCAGGCCAGGCGGGGCATGGGAAGAAGTGAAATGGATGCAGTAGAGATGTTTTTAGATAGCGTCCATAGGACTCGGAGACTTGGGGTGTGAGGGGGAAGGGAGGGGGACCGTGGGTGTTCCTGGTCTCTGGCTTGAGTGCTGGGTGATGGAGTGTTCTAAGGCTAGGCACCCAAGAGGAGAGTCAGAAGCGTCCTTTATGCCACGCAAGGCCCGTCATCTGGGGGTGGGATGCCGTATGACAGCTTAGGCTGGGGATAGAATCAGCAGTGGTAGATTCTATCTGTATTATTAAGAAATACAGATTTATTATGTAACAGTTCTGGAGCCAGAGATCCTAGAATCAAGGTGTCGGCAGAGCCGGCTCCTTCTGGAGGGTCTGGGAGAGCACTTTGCACGGGACCCTGTCCCTTGTGCTGCCTGAAGCCCTTACACAGGGCTGGGTCACTTGACCCCTTTCAGTCCCCCTCTCCTTACAAATCAGATATAGTGTGTTCTTACAGGCTTCAGAGCTTGGATGAACCACCTTTGGTTAGATTTCGACAGAATAATCTTTCCAGTTATAAAACTAACCCAGGATCATTATGGATCATTTGAAAAGGCAAAAAAAAACGATTCCAATTTTTAGTATATGTCCTTCTCCTTTTGTCCTATGCAGTGTTTTTTTGTTTTGTTTTGGTTTGGTTTGGTTTTGGTTTTCTTATTTGGGACCCTATGGCATATTATCAAATAAATCTATCCATTTTTTAATTTGTTTCATTGCATAAGCACTTCTTTCCAGTTCCTACAAGCTTTTCCTAGGAATCATTTTTGACGGCTCTGTAGTTTTCCACTGGGCGGATGTGCTGTCGTGACCTACATAACCCCCGCCGTCAGTCAGGAGGCTGCAGACTGTGTCCACTTCCCTGTTGTAAATGCCACAGCAAGGCCTTTATTTACTATTCTCTACATTTAGGATTGTTTCCCAAAGATTAGAATTCTAGAAGTGGCGTTCCTGGCCCAAAGGGGGTCCACATCTTTTCCCCACTTTTTTTTATTGTAAAAATGCATATCACATAAAAACTAGCATCTTACCCACTTTTCCGTGTACAGGGCGGTGGCATCGGGTACATTCGCACTGTGGTGACCCATCACCACCACCCACCCACAGAACTCTTCCTCTCGCAGAACCGAACCTCTGTCCCCATGAAACACTAACTCCGCACCCCCTCCCCATCCCCCCATAGCCACCATCGACTCTCTGGCCCTATGATTTGGGGAGAGGGGTGTACATTTTTAAAGTTTTAGATATGGATATGGTCAGACCGCCCCCCAGAGAGTTCACGTCAGCACACACTCCCCCCGAGCACCCGCCGTCGCTACCTCCTTAACAGCTTTGGGATTTGAAAACAACAACAGCTGATTTTTGCTAATTTGGTGAAAAAAGACTACCTTGTTCTGGATGGATATTTTTAATAGTTGCGCAGTGTTCCGTCCGGGAAGCTGTGTGATTGTTGAATTGACTGACTCCCATGGGGCTGTGTGTTTAGGTGTTTCCAGGGTCTGGGTTTTATCAGTTACTCCGCTGTTAACATCTCTGTTCTTAAAGGCAAACTGACTCCCTGCCCGTTGTTTCTCTCCCGAGGGCGCTACGATGCTCGGGCCCGGGTCCTCCTTTGCCACATGACCTCCCTCCTCGGAGTGGCCTCCGGGGAACTGGATCTCCTGGAAGAGACGTTCCTTGAGAGCCTGAAGGACAGCAAAGAGGAGGAATCTGAGTAAGTGAGCCCTGAACCTGCTAGCAATAGAAAACTGCCCCTCGAGTGTGCTTTTCAGATAACAGTCTCCTCTGTCCCCTCCCTCCATTAAGAGTTGGTGCACGGCCCTGGCCGGTTTGGCTCAGCAGTTAAAGCATCGGCCTGCAGACCAGAGAGTCCTGGGTTCGGTTCCCACTAAGGGCACGTATCTCGGTTGCAGTTTGTCCCCGGCCCTGGTTGGGGTCGTGTGGGTGGCGACCACTCGATGTGTCTCTCTCACATTGATGTTTCTCTCTCTGTCTTACCCCTTCTCTCCCTCCCACTCTGTCTGAAGATAAATGCAAAAATGTCCTCGGGTGAGGATTTAAAAAAAGAGAGAGAGACGGTGCACAGAGAGTCCACAGCAGCCCGGACTTGCTGTGTGTCCTTTAGCAAGTCTCTTCCCATCTCTGGGCCCCAGTCCCCATTTCTAAGAAGAGATTGACTGGATGATTGCTAAGGGCTCATAACTTTAACATTCTGTGGCCCCGACACCCCACTTCATATCAGGTTCTTGTTCATGAGCTGGAATGGCCTGGGTTCAAATCTCACCTCTGACATCCATCTGCTTTTTTGACCTTGGGCTGGTACCCTCCCTTCTCCAAACCACACTATTCTTTTTTTTTTTTAATTCTTTTTGTTTGTTTGTTTGTTTTCTTTTTCTTTTTTTCTTCTTTTTTTTTTTTTAGAGAGGGAACGAGGGAGAGGGAGAGAGACAGAGAAATGTCAATGAAAGAGAAACATCAATTGACTGCCTCGCCCCCTACTGGGGATTGAGCCTGCAACCCCAGCACGTGCCCTGACCGGGAATCGAACTGGCAGCTGTTCAGTATACAGGACGACGCCCAACCGACTGAGCCACACTGGCCAGGGCAGCCACATATTCTTATCTATACAAGGGGAATAAGCATGGCACACTCCCAGGGTGGTTGTGAAAAGTGAATGCAACCCTATGATAAGGTGCTAGACCCAGGGCTGGCATGAGCAAGTGGCCAGTAGGTCTGAGTCCTTCCCTTCCCCCATGTACCCCAGGACCCAGCAGCTACAGAGCCGCTTTGCTAGCTATGCATTGTCGGGAGAGTGTAGAGGGACATTATCCTGGCAACTCGGCCAGAGCTCAGCTCTTTGCTAAACACCTTGCACAGAATCTAATCTCAGGACTATTGACCGATCCAGTCACAGCCTAATTGCGGGCTCCTTGCACCAGGCACGTCTCCCAGCCTTGGGTTTGTGCGGCCATGACGACTGTCTTGGGGCACCCAGGTTGTGCCAGCCCAGCCCAGCTGGGAATTCAGCTCTGAGGCCAAGTCCAGAACGGGAGCTGCCCGCCTGCCAGGGTTTGGAGGGCAAAGGGAGAGTCGATTTCCTTGAGAAAGGAGGAAGCTTGGTCTGTTGAAATGACCTGAAAACGGACTTGTTTTGACCCCCAGAGCTATGCCAATAGAGAAACACCTGGCCCCAGGTCAATTACCACCATCACAAGGGCTGCCCAGATTTTGGGATGTGTTGGACATCTGTTGTCTCTTTTGTGCTTTGACATGAAGGAAACTCTCGGCTATGATTTGCAAAGCTTATTGTCAGAAAGAAACATGTCACCCAGAGGATTTGTTCTGATAATACCAGTAATCAGATCAGGGAACATGTAGAAACAGGTTCCAACATGACCCAGCTCTGCCACTTAGCGACCATGTGACCTTGGACAAGTTAGTTCACTTCTCTGGGCCTCAGTTTCCTTGCCTGCAAAATGGGGATAATAATAGCAGCCTGCTCACAGGGTTCTTCTGGGGCTCAAATGAGTTCATGCATGTAAAGTGCTTCGAACAGGCCTTGTACAGAGTAACTAGCTGATGAGTAGCATCATTTTCTATAGTATCTGTTTCATTGCTATTACTATATAGGAGCCTTTCCTCAGAAAAACACTCCACGTGTGGAATTTTTTAATTCAGTGTCAGGGACTTTGGAGACCTCTCAGGTTCTTTGGTCTCTGGAAGAATCCATTTAAAAAAGAAGAAGAAGAGCCCATCTGGTGTGACTCAGTGGTTGAGCGTCAACCCACGCATCAAGAGGTCACTGGTTCAGTTCCCGGTCTGGGCACATGCCCAGGTTGTGGACCCGATCCCCGGTGGGGGCATGCAGGAGGTAGACAATTAATGTTCTCTCTCATCCATGTTTCGTCTCTCTCCCTTCCTCTCTCTCTAAAATCAATAGAGAAAAATAAAATTGTTTTTAAAGAAGAAGAAGAATCCATAGCAAAATCAGAGCAAGTGCTCAGCCTGGTCCTCAGTGTGGTTCTGCTTTCAGTCTCTGTGCATCCCCAGACACCTTGCTTCCCCTCTCTGGGCACCAGCACCAGCTTTCTCGCCTGCATGAGCAGAGGATCGGATTATATGTAGGTTTCTTTTAACTCTAAGGTTTTGGGTTTCTGCAAGGTGAGCCTATCACTTGGCACTCCAAGGCGATCCTCTGCAGCTGGGGTTCAGGGTGTGATGTACCTCCTTTCTGTTCTTGGGTCCCCATCTGAGCCCTGAGGTCATCCAAGCTTCCCCCACTTGTTTGGTGACTTCACTCTGTGCCTCCTTTGCCACAGTTTCTTCGTCGCTGACGTGGGGATAATGGTAGCATCTCCATCATTAGATGGTTATGAGGATTAAATTAATGCATACATAGCAACAGCTTGGAACAGAGCCTGGCACATAGTGGGTCTCAGCAGACGTTAGGTAATGCCCTGCTGCAGGTGGACACTGGTCACATCACCATAACATTGTGTCAACATCTAACTTTTATTGAGATGTAGGCACAAGGTGTCAGCTCATTTGGTCTTCATAACAGTCTCAGGAGGGTTTCACGGGAGAAGAAATAGAAAGTCAGAGGAGTCATGTCACTCACCCAAGGCCACCCAGCTGCCCGGGGCACCGTCTGATTCAGCCATCATATCAGTCTGCACGTCACTTACGGCTTCTCTCAAGGCATGGCCGGCCAGCCCAGGTTCCCTCCTTTTCTGAAGAAAGCAGTAAAGATAGTTCTTTATGGGGCTTTCAAAGCTTTGGTTAGGCCAGTGGCCCTAGATGTCCAGAGATAAGCTCTCCCTGTCTATCTGAAGGTGATTAAAACCAGGAAGAGGGCGGGGTGAGGATGGCAGGGTGGGGAACACCCTCTCAGGGAGAGAAGATGGCAGGAAGTGATGCTGATTTGTGGGAGCACGAGCCGGGCAGCGTGGCCTTTTGTTCTTTGCTATGTGTCTGTGACTCCAGCCTGGGATTTGGCCCAGATCTGCATGTAGGCTCCTGACTTGGCCTTTGGAAGGCTGACATGGGATGCCAACGCGGGGTCATTTCTGGCCTTCCAGAACAGAGTGGCCAGCCAGTAGGAGGGAGTAGCTTGCCGTGGTATCTAGCCAACCGGCAAGGTCAGAAACAGGAACAGGGCTTCGTCTGAACTGAGATCCGTGCTCTGAATTCTCACTTCCAAATATCAGACAGACACGCCGTTGATGTAACCCAGCAATGTCTTCTGTTGTGCTTTAGACGTTTTCATTCAGACAACTGAAGTGATAGCAGGAATAAAAGCTGTGATAATTAGTGATGATGGCAAAGCTGTTTGTTTTATGTACAAAACAGTTATTGAGAACGGTCAAGTACTTACATAAATGAGGAAATAGATTGGCAATTCAGGTAAATTAAGAGAAGGTGCCTTAGCTAAATAACTTTAGGGTAAATATTGTATTTTTTTGGATTCAGCAAATGTTTATGAACATTTAAATAATAATACAAAGCAGAATACTAGAGACTAGTATATGGTCCATCTAATCTTTGTAAAATGGATTCAGTACACTAGTATTCATACCTTTAAAAACAGCCTCAAGCCCAGCCAGTGTGGCTCGGTGGTTGAGCGTCGACCCATGCACCAGGAGGTCACCAGTTCGATTCCTGATCAGGGCACATGCCCAGGTTGTGGGCTCGATCCACAGTGGGGGACATGCAGGAGGCGGCCAATCGGCGTTCTCTCTCATCGATATTTCTGTCTCTCTTCCTCTCTTTTCCCCTCTCTCTCTAAAATCAGTAAAGAAAAAAAAAATTTTTTTAAACAGCCTCAAGAACTGTATTTACTTTTTAGTTATTTTCTTCCCCTGAGGCTATGCATTTCCCCTCCATAAACTCAGCTAATCACAACGAGTGTCTGGTGTCACAGATGCATGGATGTCACTGCGGGACAATCCAGAAGCAGACGGTGCTGAGAAATGTCAAGGGCACCAGCTCCCAAATTTGACTGTTCTTAAAAATACCTCTGGAGTAATCATTAAAATGTCATAACATTCAGATTGTTCTAATATCCCAGAATTACATTCTTTTTAAAATAATTTTTATTTAGCCCTAGCTGGTTTGGCTCAGTGGTTAGAATGTCAGCCCACAGACCGAAGAGTCGCAGATTCTATTCCAGTCAAGGGTACGCACTTTGGTTGTGGTTCATCCCCGGCCCTGGTTGGGGTCGTGCAGGAGGCAACCAGTCGATGTGTCCCTCTCGCGTCAATGTTTCTGTCTCTCTCTCCCTCCCTCCCACTCTATCTGAGGATAAAATAGAAAAGTATCCTCGGGTGAGGATTACAAATAATAAGAAGAAAGAAAGAAATCATGTTTATTTATTTAAATTACAGTTGACTTGAAATATTATTTTGTGTTAGTTTCAGGGGTACAGGACAGTGGTTGGACAATCAAACTTTACGAAGTGTTCCCCCATATTTGCAGTACCCTCCTGGCCCGTACGTAGCTATTACAACCAGATTTCATTCTTGGTGGTGACTGGCCTGTCCTCTGGCCCACGCCACTTTGGCTTTCACAGATGTGGACAGCGCGTAGGGGAATAGATTTCTGCAGCACGATGTTCACGGTCAGTCCCGGTCAGAATGACTCGGTTCTGTCCAAGAGACTTTCTGAGCACCCTTTGCGTCCCACCCCGGCCAGCTGCTGGGCGGGGGGGAGGAGGTAAGGATGGAAAGCAGGAAAGGCCCGGCCTGTGTCCTGAGCCTCTGGCCCTGCAGTTCTCAAACCTGAGCTACAGCAGGTCCCTGGAGAGCGTGTTACAGGGAGTCTCCTCGCCCTCAACCCAGAGCGTAGGCCCAGGAAGCTGCACTTGGAACAGCGACCCCCTGGGGAGTCTCATGCAGTTGATCCAGAGACCACCCTTTGACCATCAGTCGTCTTGAACTCCAGGCTGATGCCATCTGGAGAGTTACAGGGGGCTTGGGCAGGCTTCCTGGAGGAGGTGACTCTTGAGTGATGAGTAATATTTAGCCAGACAAGGGAAGTGAGCTGTTCCTTGGCAACAGATCGCCAACAGGGACACAGTACGAGGCACAGGTGGTGTGCCTGCCAGAGTCCAGGGTTGCTGGAGGGCGAAGTGTGACTTCAGAGGTGATGAGCAACCAAACAACACACAAACAGACTCGTGAAAACAGAGACCGAAGGGATGGTGACCAGAAGGGAAGGGGTGACCAGAAGGGAGGGGTGAAAAGGAGAAAGGGAACACAGTCAGTGATGCTGTGATATAATTTGCACAGTGACCCACGATCACTAGAATCAGCGGGGTGATCTCGTTGTAAGCTATAAACGTGTCCAGTCACGACGTGGTGCACCTAAAACTGATATAACCCCTGTAAGATTGTATACCAACTATACTTAAATTTTAAAATAATAATTTTTTTTAAAAGTGATGAGCCGTGAGTCTGTGAAGGAGGCAGGCAAGTCAGGGAGGGCCTGAGTGTCATGGTGGAGAGGTGACTCTATTCTCAGGGCAGAGGAAGGGCAGGAGGGAGCGAGAGAGAGCTTGACGTTGGTCACTATGGTGGTACTGTCATCATCCTTCCATTGACCCTCCCCAGTGAGCAAACTGGGGCTCAGAAAAAGTGGGTGAGCCAGCGAGATCATGGCAGAGCCGGGCTCAGATACCTCTGCCCCAAACTTCCAGGCTTCCCCAGTGAAGCCTGGAATGAAACTCCCAGGGTCTGTGGAATGAGGTGATGATGCAGACTCGCAGAGCCAGCTGCGCGTCCCCATGAGGTCCCTGGGACTTGAATGTTCCCATTGTACATCCTCAGCAACTTGACTTTTTCCTCAGGCCTTGAACTCTGCCCAAAGCAACTGGTTTGCCGCCTCTCTGTTTGCTGTTAAGGGTCAAAGTATATCTCCCGTGTTTAGCAGGAAATGATCGTAATAATGAACGCAATGATCATAGCAGCAATCAGAGTACCACGTGCCAGTGTTGTGTGTGGATTGGTGCCCAGAGCTCTTACACTACCCCTGGGAATCAAGTACCGGTGTTATCCCCACCTGTTGGATGAGGACGCTCAGGCAGGACCGGTAATTTGGGCATAGCCACGAAGCTAGTATGTGGCTCTATCCATTAGGATGGCCATTTGCCGCAGTAACAAATGACCTCCAAATCTCAGTGACTTACGGCCACACAGGTGCATTTCTTGTTCACGCGACACGTCCACTGCAGATGGGCTGTGGCTTTAGTCCACACTGTCTGGGTTCTGGGTCCCAGGCTGACAGAGTGACCTCTACCTGGAACATGGCTGGTCTTAGAGCCGAGTGAAAGGAAGCTCATCCGTGTCCTGACGCTAAGACTTTGCTGGAAGTGGTACACTCTGTCCACCTACATGTCATTGGCTAAAGCAGGTCATGGGACCATTCGGCTCAACAGGGCGGGGATGTGGAATCTTTCCACAGGGAGGACCGGGCCAGGGAGGGCTGACTGAGGATTTGGTGTCTGTGACACGCTGGCCCCACCGCACAGGAAGGGCTCGAGCCTGTGCTTACGGGGTTGAGTCCTGACCTCAGAGCCGAGGCTGTCACTGGCCATCACCTGCCACTTTGCTAGATGTGCGGTTCGGCCTCCTGCCACACTCTGTGGATTTCGTGCGGGGAAAACCAGCCCCTGCGATGGGCGCAGAGACGGACCCCTGGTTTGCGCTTCTCTGGCGTGAAGCATCGGAGAAGCGCTGCTCGCCCGCCCAGGAGCTGCTCCGGACAGAAGTTGGGTGAGGTGACCAGCAAAGCACCAAAAAGCAGAGCAGACCCCCGCATGCCCAGCTCAGACCCCGTTTCTTATTGAAGACTGAGGACGGACTATTTCTCCCCATCTCGAGTGGTTTGTGAGGAAAGAGATGGGAAGGAAACAGGTATTGGTCCATACCGCCTTGTTCTGCTCCCCGATCTGTGGCACCCAGAAAACCCCCACATCGTCCACTCTCAGCCAAAGTGTGGGGATTAAATGGGTGAAGAAGAAATGAGTTTAATCTTTACAAACCAACTGTCTTAAGAGGTAGCTATTATTATCTCCATTTTATTTATTTATTTTTCCTTGATTGATTTTAGAGAGAGAGAGAAACATCGATGAGAGAGAACATCGATTGGCTGCCTCCTGCATACCCCCCACTGGGGATCAGGCCCTGCCGGGAATCGAACCAGCGACCTCTTGGTGCATGGGTCGACGCGCAACCACTGAGCCACACCGGCCAGACTATTATCTCCATTTTACAAAAGAGCACACTGAGGCTGGGGAAAAGGCAGGAGACACTGTTTGTCACCACCTGCCGTGTGCTATGGGGCCACGTGCTTGACAGACTTCTTCATGGATCCTGACAGGCCCTCAGGAGGAGGGTACTCTTAGCCCTGACACCGGGACATGCGGACAATAACAACACCGCTTCTCGGATAAATAAACCGCGTGGAATATAAAACACGGTAGAACTCAGCGCGTAGGCTCAGGACTGGCCGACCCCCATTCACTCTAAATGCCTCCCTCCTGCTGCAACTCCCAGCTTCTACACTTCGCGTCTGAACGAGTCTAGCCATTGCCCCAAGGCCAAGGTCCTGGGCAGACATTTCTCTAACCCACCTTTGAAATGATTATGCTGTGGGCAGTTGGTGTCCAAGTGTCCCAGAGGGAGGCGAGCTCAAATGTTGAGGGGAAGGGCAGGAAGGGCGCAGGCAATGGAGTCTGTGATTCTATTTGGTACTCGTCTGGGTCCGTCTGTTAAAAGATATTTCTGTGCTTCTTTTACTATTATTGTTATTTTTTTGTTTTTTCCTCATTCAAATTGCAACCCTGTTAGGATGGATCCTTCGGGTAAGTAGTGCATCCCACACACTGGGATTCCCCAGCTGGCTTTTAGAATGTTTTCAGATTTTTAAAAGCATCAACGGGCCCTGGCCGGTTTGGCTCAGCGGTTAGAGCGTTGGCCTGCGGTCCGGAGAGACCCGGGTTCGGTTCCCGCTAAGGGCATGTACCTCGGTTGCAGTTTGTCCCCGGCCCTGGTTGGGTTGTGTGGGAGGCAGCAACTCGATGTGTCCCTTTCACATCGATGTTTCTCTCTCTCTCTCTCTCTCTCTCTCTCTTCCTCTCTCTCCCTCCCACTCTAAAAAAAAACAAAAAAGCATCGATGGGCTCAGGGTGACTTTGGTAGCTTCTCTGAATGACGGAGTACCCAGCATCGATCCCAGTTTGGGGGTTGTTGAGGCGGGGGGGGCCTCAAGGGGTTCCAGGCACAGCCAACCCTAAAGACCAACCTCTTCTCCCCCAGAACAGCCGAGGCGTCCAGGAAGAAGAGAGAAAACCGGAGGAAGTGGAAGCGCTATCTGCTGATAGGCCTGGCAACCGTCGGAGGCGGGACAGTGATCGGTGAGGACAGCTCAGGGTGAGACGGTGGCACGTGGGTCAGTGCAGGCAGAGTGACTGACGGATGACGTCAGGCTGGGAGTGGAGAGGGCGGGCGATCAGCTGGGAGGTGCCCTGGGCACACAGTAGGTGCTCCATCAGCAGTATATTCATTAGTTAGGAGCCTCCATGGAAGTCAGTGAGAAGCTGAAGGGAGAAGAACCCAGCAGGCCACATCCTCACTCCCACCTTTACCCTGCTCTCTGCTTCTTCGCAGGTGTGACCGGGGGTCTAGCTGCCCCTCTTGTTGCCGCCGGGGCCGCGACAATCATTGGCAGTGCTGGCGCAGCGGCTCTGGGCTCAGTGGCTGGCATCGCTGTCATGACCTCGCTGTTCGGTGCCGCTGGAGCTAGCCTCACAGGTCAGGTTCGAGGGGAGAGCGGGCTATGAGGCCTTCAGCCAGGGTGGCCCAGCTCCTGAAGGACGCACCCAGTGGTGGCTCCACAGGAGATGGCCCAGGAGCTCACGGCTTTTCTCCTGCTGGGTCCCAGCCCTGCCAGAACTTGCCGCAGGCTTCACAGAGAACTGGGCGATAGCTTGGCACGGGTTGGTGTAAGGGCTGAGTCTGAGAAACTGCACCTTGTGTAGACTTCCTGAGAAGGGTCTCATTGGACCTGCTTGTCACTATTTAGTAAGTTTCCAGATAGGCCTCCTCGGAGATGCTTGGGCTCCCTCATGGAAGAAAGCACATGGCTGCCCTTTATTTACCAGCATCTCGTTGGGGAGTTTTCCCAAATCATATGTGTCAGCAGCCCCCCAGATTCCTGGTCTACTCCTCAAGTCGAGAGCCACTTCCCATATTAGGAATCTTGGTCAGTTTGATCCACTTTTACTGAAAGGAATGCGTTGTACCCCTGAAGTGTGTAGGCAGGAAAAACAACATAGAACTGACTGAGTCAGGGCAGAGTGGTGGTTATGAGCCTGGGCTCTGAGTCCCAACCCCAGCTCTGGCCAGCCTCTGGAAGCCTCTTACCGTCATCTGTAACTGGGGACAATAATAGCACCTACCTTATGAGTTGAACACAGTCAGTGCTCACCGTGTGAGTTGTGAGTACAGCAAACCACCCTGACTAACATCCCCTGGGGTCCCTAGTCACCTCCATTCTCATTTCTGTGTCTGCGTCTTTAGGATATAAGATGAAGAAGCGTGTTGGGGCCATTGAAGAGTTCACCTTTCTGCCTCTGACAGAAGGCAGGCAGCTACACATCACCATCGCCATCACGGGGTGGTTGGCGTCCGGCAAATACCGTGAGGACCAGGGTGCAGTGGACAAGGATGCAGAGGGAGGGTAGATGCTGGCTGGGCTGGGCCTGCTGCTGTGGGCCAGACCCTAGTCTAGGCTCTTGCCTGTGTATGTCTTTAGAGGGTGGGTAGGGGAACCCCATTTTGCAGAGGAGGAAACTGAAGCTTAGAGAAGTGAGGAGACTTCATCCAACATCTGTCTACTCATCCATCCATCCATCCTCCATTCATCCAACTATCTATCCATTCACCCATCCACCCAACTATCCACACATCCATCCATCATCATTCATCTATCTACCTATGCATCTTACTCTTCATCTATCTGTCTATACATCCATCCATTCACCCACCCATCAATCCATCATTCAGCAGTATGTATAGAGTACTATACAAACCGTGTGCCAGACGCTGAGCCAGACCCTAGGAATTTAGTGGTGAGCAGCCCAGTCATGGCCTCTGCTCCCATGGAACACCTGGTCTGAGGCAGAAGACAGACCATTAAGCAAGTAATTATAGGGAAGCTTTATGGATCACACAACAGGGGGAGCACACAGTTATTTCTGCAGAATGAGGGAATGTTTCCTAGAGGAAGTGACATTCAGGCTAAGGACTGGCTGGGAATTAGCTGGGTAAAGAAGAAGCAAGAAGTGTCTACCAAGCAAAGGGGAAGCATGTACAAAGGCCCAGTGGTGCAAAAGAACCAACAGGAGCACAGGATGCTGGAGCAGGGAGCTGTGGACAGGGCCAGATCAGATCACGCAGGAGCATGTGAGGTGAGGAGTTTGAATTTATCCTGAGAGCAAGGGGAAGATAGCAAAGGACTTAAGCACATAGGTGAGAGGTCAGTATGCCTTGGCTGTGTGACCTCAAGCAAATGACTGAACCTCTCTGTGCCTCAGCTATTTCATTTGTAAAGTGGAACAAATTATTTCTTCCTTTCAAGGACCTTTTCAAGGTCCTTACAAAGATTAAATTAAACAAGGTAATGTACAGAAGGCACCTGGATTCTAACTGGCATTCCACAAACCTAGTTCCCTTTGCTGCTGTAACCTACACGTGTGTTTTCCACCAGGGTGGCATTGAGGACTCACGCCAAGGTCTGCTCACTGCCTGGCTCACGTTTGCAAATGCGAGGCTCAGCCAACAGCTCATTATTCAGAGTGAGATCAGGGTGGGCCAGGGGACCCAGGGCACTCAGCCAGGCACACGTGCTCAGAGCCTCCTGCTTCCCAGAGCTCCGGGATCCGAGGGTGGAAGCCACGGCTCTTCTCAAGGACACAGAAGAAGGCCAGGTCACCGAGGGCCTGAGTGTCACCTGGAGAAGGCCAGGAGGGAGGGAGAGGGAGGCAGACAGTCACGGTTATACTATCTTGCTTGACCTTGGAGGTGCTGTCATCATCCCTCGAGGCTCAGAAAAAGTGGGTGAGCCAGCAAGATCATGGCAGAGCCGGGCTCAGATCCCTCTGCCCCAAACCTCCAGATGTTGCCAGGCAGGGTTGTGGAATGAGATGATGCTGACTCAGAGCCAGCTGCTTGTCCCCTTGTGTGTTCCTATTGTACGTCCTCAGCAGTCCAATGCCAGAGTTAAATGCAGGGTGACAGAAAACGACGCTGTGAAGGAAGGTACATTCTAATCTCCCCACTTCACAGATAAGCAAAGGGAGGCTCAGGGTGGTAGAGCGATGTGCCAAGGTCACCATCTGTGAATGAAAGCAGGATCTGGGACTCAAACCCCAGCCTGCTGACTCATAGGGTGGTGCCATGCTCCATCTAGGTGCTAACAGCTGCCACTCATTGACAGGGGTGGGCCTCTTGTGGTCTCTCCCCAAGGGTGAGTGGTCCCCTGTCTGGGAAACTGGGGTGGGGCATCCTCTAGCAAAGTCAGGAGAGATCCCACCTACCTGTGTCCTCCCCAGGCACCTTCAGCGCCCCGTGGGCTGCCCTGGCACGCAGCCGCGAACAGTACTGCCTAGCCTGGGAGGCCAAGTACCTGATGGAGCTCGGCAACGCCCTGGAGACCATCCTCAGTGGGCTTGCAAACATGGTGGCCCAGGAGGCCCTAAAGTACACAGTGTTATCTGGTAAGCCTTCCTGTCCCCACCGCCAGCAGCATGCCCACTGCTTCCCAACCCATGCTGGTACATGCCTCTGCTTACCTGAGGCCCCCGGTGAGCCAGGCACTGTGCTGGACCCTAGGAACATGGAGAGGTCAAGACTGCATCCCTGTCTGTGAGAACTGTAGAGTCTTTGTGGGGAGGAGACAGGTAAACAGCCAATCACATTATCACAGAATGTGTCAGTTAGTTATTGCTGCGTAAGAAGCCACGCCAAAACTCAGTGACTTAAAATAACCATCATCTATCATAATAGCTCCAGAGACATGAGGCTTCATTTGGTTGATCTCTGCTGGGCCTGCTCATGCATCTGTGGGTCAGCGGACTGTCCACTGATCTAGGCTAGCCTGATCTGGGGAAACTGAGGCAACTGGGCTCTGCTCCACTGGCCTCTCCTCCTCCTGGGATCACAGGCTAGCCCACACCGGTGGTGTAGTACATGAGAGGCTAGCCTCCATGCCCAGGTCCATCTAAATCTCACACCTACTAACATCTCATTGGCCAAAGCAAGTCAGGAGGCTGTGCCCACGGTGGATGGGCAGGGCAGGGGCAGGGCCACTACAGAGTTCTGAGGCTACATGGGGGGTACCAGGTGCAGTGACCAATTGGGACCATCTCTGGAGTCTCACACATGACAGATGCCTGAACAGGAGGGATCTAGAGTCCGTGTGTCAGTCCATGTTCTTTGCTGTTCAGCAGTCTGACAGCCCTTGGAGAACGTGTGGGTTCCAAGGTGGAGACTCTGCATGTGCTCACTCGGGCATCTAGCAGCCGGCTAACCACTTCCCCACCAGACCCCACTGCCTTCATCACTCACAATTCATCTCCCCAGGCATCGCGGCTGCCCTCACCTGGCCGGCCTCCCTCCTCACTGTCGCCAACGTCATCGACAACCCCTGGGGGGTGTGTCTCCACCGATCCGCAGAGGTTGGCAAGCACCTGGCCCACATCCTGCTCTCGCGGCAGCAGGTACCTGGGAATGGTTGTGGGTGGGGCCCAGGGGGAAATGAGGGGCTGACAGTGCACAGACACGAGCCCTAAAGATGTCTGTGTGGAGGTGGCCCCGTGGCTTCGGGGGAGTGGGTGGTCTTCACTGCTCCTCCAGTTCAAGGCACGAAAGTATCCTAGGCTGGACCGGTAAGAATTACAGACTGTGTCCCTAGGTGAGGATGGAATAACAGAGGCACCTGCAGGTACAGACCAGGCCAGGTGCTTCTCCCCAGAAGTGTAGGGCCACCCTCTGAGCAAATCATCAGTGTTCCAAGTACCACGTAACACGGTCCTGGTTACATGCACGTTCCAGACAGTCGGAGGCAAGAGGGGGTGGTGAAGGGCATGCTTGGAAGTCACACCTATCGCTTCCCTTCATGGCCCTGGCCAGGGCTCAGCCCTGTGGTCGTCCCTAGCTACAGGGGAGTTAGAGAAACTCAGCCTTTGGCCAGGGAGCCCAGGAGGACTCGGAAGTTCTGTCACCAAGACGTGGGTGGCTGCATGGGCGTTGGGAGGTGAATAGCAGCCTCTGTCACGAGGTTCCTGCAGAATTGGGGTATTGTTGAACAGTTTTCTTTTTAATCCTCATCCGAGGACATTTTTCCATTTCCTGGACAGACAGAGTGGGAGGGAGAGAGAGGAAGAGAGAGAGAGAGAGGGAAACATCGATGTGAAAGGGACACATCGAGTGGCTGCCACCCGCGCGACCAACCAGGGCCGGAGACAAACTGCAACCGAGGTACGCGCCCCTAGCGGGAACCGAACCCGGGTCTCTCGGGACCGCAGGTGGATGCTCTAACTGCTGAGCCAAACCGGCCAGGGCTGTTGAACGGTTTTCTATGGTGGTAAATGGAGGTGGGGAAGAGGTGTGGATACACATATTGGTGCAAAAACAAGGAAAAGGAACAGACTGGTGAGGCCAGACTGGACGTTTAGAGCTCATCCGCTCCTTCCCTCCCCTTCCAGGTGGAACCTGTACCCAGATACCCCAGATGACCTTTTTCTTATGAGTTGCCTTTTCTACAAGTTCTTTAGTGAGGACGCTCCTCTCTCCGTCTAACTCACTACCCACTCTTGTAATGTAAGGTCGCTAGTTCACGTCACACCTGCCCAACTAGAAGCAGAACAGCCGTCCCTCCCACGTCCCTCTTTGCCTTTCCCCCCATCGCACCTGGGGGCACCTTCCCCCTCCTCTCCTCGGCTCCGAAGGGCCCCACTCGACTGCCGTCATTTGCCAGGCGATGGATGAGTCCTGTCTCGGGGGCAGAAAAGGCAGCAGCTGGGTAACGGTTTGAGGTGAAAGGAAGGTACCGCAGCCGGAGCCCGCCTGTCGGCCTCGGAGGCAGCGGCTCCAGCGTCAGGTGCGCTCCTGTGTAAAGCAGGGTGTCGACGCCCCGACCGAGACCTCGGAGCTCGGGGCCAGGAACAGCGCACGCATCACTCATTCCTCAAGGCAGGCGCTGAGTGTGCAGGGGCCGCCCTCGTCCGGGCTGAAGTTCTGCTCGAACTGGCCGTGTCCCCTCCCTGACACCTGCCCTTTTTCTCCCAGGGCCAGCGACCTGTCACTTTGATTGGCTTCAGCCTGGGAGCCAGAGTCATCTACTTCTGCCTGCACGAGATGGCGCAGGAGAAAGGTGAGTCAGGCCCTGGCCGGTTTGGCTCAGTGGTTAGAGCGTCAGCTCGTGGACCAGAGAGTCCCAGGTTCGGTTCCCGCTAAGGGCATGTACCTCGGTCGTAGTTTGTCCCCAGCCCCAGTTGGGGTCGTGTGGGTGGCAACCACTCGAAGTGTCTCTCTCACGTTGATGTTTCTCTCTCTCTCTCTTCCTCCCTCTCTCCCTCCCGCTCTATCTGAAGATAAATGCAAAAATGTCCTCCGGGGAGGATAATAAAAAAAAAAGGTGAGTCAGGTTTCCCTTCACAGGCCCTCCCCAGGTGTAGCCCCCGTGCCGAGGTGCAGGACCCGGAGTCCTGAGCCTGTGACTGTGTTCTCAGCTTTTAGAAATAATAGCTCACAGCTTAAAACAGCTTGGAAATAGACAAAATCATTAAGTCAGTTGGAAAATTGATTCTTTTTTCTGTGCATAAATTAGCATGGATGTGAGACAGTCCCAGAGTAATGACACTGGCCGTGGTGTTCTGATGCATGTTCTTGAAGGAGGAAGAGGAGGGGCCGGAAAGTTAAAAGTCAAGGTGTTGGCCGCCCCGCCCCCCCAAGGCTCCTTCCTCGCCTCTCAGCCAGCGGGGTTGCCGGCATGCTCGCACCCTAGGCTGTTGACACACCGCACCGTCTTCGCGCCACCTCCTTTCTGTCTTCTGAGGACACGTTGGATTTAGGGCCCACCAAATCCAGGATGACCTCATCTCGGGATCCTTAACTAATTGCATCTGCATAATTTAATTATATCAGCAGACACCTTTTCCAAATGAGGTCTCATTCACAGGTTCCAAGTGGACCTGTTGGGGGACACCATTGAACCCGCTGCAGAGACCTCTGGGAGTGTGTCGTGCCTCCGGTGGCATACTTTCTGTGCCAAGGCAGCGGAAACCTTGAGTGTCCCTGCCCTGGCCTCGGGTGGGTGAGGTGTCCAGGACAGAATGCGGGTGTGGGACAGATGTCAGCAGAGGCTGCCCTAGGAGGGGGCTGGGGGTGTGGGGTGCAGGGCGTGGGGCACCTGGGAGTGGCCCACTGTTTGTGCGACCCAGGCTGCTCTCTCTTCTGGTGAAGCGTAGCCAGAGCAGGACCCTAAAGGCTAGAGAAGCGACTAAGACAGGAGTCCTTGTCCTGAGAGCAGAGGGTGGGTGGGAGGGCTGGAGTAGCACTTAGCTTTCTCCCTCAGGCCGTCCCTGAGGGCCTCTGAGCCTCAGCTTCCCCACTTACAAAATAGAGTTAGTAATTCCCACCCCACGCACTTGCTTTGAGGAGCAAGCCAGGTACCCCATGTATAGTGTTTTTGCAAATTGTAAAACCCCTCATTGACCAAGTTCAGCTCGAGGATGCCAGTTTGCAGCTTCTGCTCTTCAGAGTGTCTGCCAACCTAAGGCTATGCCTGAAGGTGGCCCCTGGCCACTGTCCGTGGTCAGCCCCAGCCTGTGATCTGATTGCTGACCAGTCGCTAACAAGCCCGGAGGGGTGGCAATGTCCGCCGTTGGCTGGAGCTGAGGCAAGCCGATGAGTCAGGGCTGACTGGTGTTATTTTTGGTGTTGGCGTCACCAGCGGGCATGGAAGAGACCCTGAGCTCAGGAGCATGATTCATTCCTGTTCTTTATCTTTTGCTAAAATGGACTGGGGATCGGAGCTATTTTCCTGGCTGCAAAGGCAAGATGGACGTCATCCTTGACATTCACTATGGAAGGGCCGAGCGGCTGTGTGAGCCCTGCAGCGGGCCTCGCCACCTCCTCTGTGCCCTGTGGAGGACCCCGGTGCCCCCTTAGCTTTCAACAGCCTCCTTCCCGTGTAGCTTTGTCCACATCCGTAAGCAATGGGGGACACCTCTGTCCTATTTCCAGCAACTTTGGGTCACCTGGGACCACTGTGCAGAAGGACCTGCGGGGTCAGCTCTGAGCTGTTTTCAGCAGGAAAAATCCAGCCTGGGGTCAGAGGTCAGGGAAAAGCCACTGAGGAGTTCGGGCTGAATCCAGAGCTCTGGTAAAGGTGGGTTTCCAGGCTTCCCCTCCCCAGCATCAGCAGAGACAGAGCAAGTCAAAAAGGCATCCCTTACCTGCTCCACCTGCCACAGAAAATCCACCCCGGCCTCCAGGCCTGCTGGGAGGAACCCCTGGACCCACAGCATCTCCCCATCCTCAGCTCTTCAGCCCCTCCAGGAAATGGCTTTACTGAGCTGCAGCAACGCCCTTGCCTCCTACGGCATGATGCCCTGTTCTGTGTTCCCGCGACTGTGTGCAAATGGTAATGAGATCGTCAGACTCTGTCTCGGGGAAAATAGGGGGGCTGTCTCTCACACAGAACCCCGTCTTTGCTATAAAATGGTATGGGTCACAGAGAGGCAGGATGGGTGCATCCGTCAGCTATTGCTGCAGCGATGCCACATGACAGACCACCCCCCAAACTCAGAGGGTCCCAACACCAAGTGTTTCGTGCCCGGGAACTGCAGGCTGTCTGGGTTCGGTTGCTCGAGAACAGCCTGTTTCTGGCTACACGTTGCATAGGCTCGGCCCCAGACTGCGGGCTGGGCTCGGATCTGCTCCTCGTGTATTGTCCTGGTGAGGTCACGGGGCAGCAGCCACCAGGGCATGCTCTCTTCTGCCCCATCAGTAGAGTGCCAGAGCTAAGCCAACCCACAGGCGCCACCTGAGACCTCTGCTCGTGTCGTTTTTACTAACATCCGGTGTCGGTTCTTTGACTGCACACCACCTGTGCAGCCTCAGCGCTCGGGCAGCAGTAAGTCGGTCTGTCGCCGTGGGTCTCCGGATCCACTAGGCAGGGCCGCTCCTCGCCGCACTCCTGCCGTCGCCATGGAGCTGGAACGCCTGGGGCGTCCACGTGGACCTCACTCGCTGTCTGGCCATGGCGCTGGCAGTGCCCAGTGTGCCTCCGTCCCTCCCCAGACCTCTCAGCCCCAGCGGCCTGCCTGACTGCCTTGTGTGATGTGCCCGGGGCAGCGTTTCCAGACGCAGAGTGAAACCTGCGAGGCCTCTCAGGGCCAAGGTTCCGGGGCGCATCGGTCCTGCCACCTCCTGTGGCTTCCAAGGCGCAGGCCTGGTCAGAGACCAGGGGGCGCAGCGGGGAACAGACTCCTCTTCTGGGTGGGAGAAGCGGCAAAGAATTTTGGATGATTTTTCATTTTCCATGCGTTCTGCCAAAGCAAGTGACAGCCCAGTCCTAGGTCAGTGGGCAGAATTGGGCACTCCGCCCACAGCGGAGGGGGAGGGCCAGGCAGTAATCCAGACTCTGACCGTGACCCAGGCGCTCGTGCGGGGAGAGGGAGGCATGGGCTTTGCAGTCAGCTGAGGCCTGGCTGTGAGTCCTGCCTCTGCTCCCCTGGGGGACCTGGGTTAGGCGAGGACACAGCCTCCCCAGACAGCCATCTCTCCATCTGCACTAAGAGACTGATGTCACCTCTGGGCAGTGGCAAAAGCCAGAGAGCATGGAGGTCAGGCAGTCAACCATGCTGGGTCCTGGTCAACACGTCCTCTAACAACCTTCAGGTTGGAGCCCCTGCAGGTCCAGGGGGTGGCTGCAGACTCCTCTCGCTCTCTAAGCTGCTCCCCATGGGGGACGCTCTTGAACAGTTGTCATTCTCTGTGCTGTCATCATTTTGCTCCTTTCCTAGTCTCTTTCCCCCAAACCATGCAGCAGACCATCTGCCAGGCTCCTCACTGCAGACAGGGACGTGATCTTATTAACAGGACCGATTCTCAATTTAGAGGAGAAAGGCCTGTCTTTGGCTGCAATTAGCATAAATTACATGTTAACTTCAGATCATTAATACAAGCCAACTCTTCAGTTCCCCTACGGATCAAGTTGAATTAATTACCATTTTCCATTTGGCTGTGGCGGTCGGAAGTGCGTCCGCCCATCAGCTGCCTCCGGAATGTGAGGCTGGAAACTGGGCGGGAGGGAGGCAGGTGGCCTCTGGGGGGCAGATCCGGTTGTTGAGACACTGAGATGTCCCTGCACCTCAGCCTCTTGGGGGATGGGCCTTCCTGCCTCTTTCCTGGCCGCTGCTCCCTCTCCCGGACCTTCATGGCCAACCAAAAAGGACTGGGCTTTGGTATTAGGCAGACCTGGGTTTGGGTCCTGACTGTGACACTAACTAGCTTTGGACCTTGGGCAGGTCACTTCATCTCTCGGAGCCTCAGTTCCCTTCCGAATATGGGACTTCGAATACTTCCCTCGAAGGCTCGTCGGGAGATTCAAGTGAGACGATGAATATGAAAGTACCTGCCCCGATTTGGGTACACTCAGTACACGCTTCTTCCTCTAACGTCCAGTCTGAGCACCTACTGTGCATGGGAATGCGGAGCGTCGCGGAGCTAGAGGAGCTTGTCGTTTTGTGTCTACTTTCCGGCCCCTGTGTTGCCCGTGAACTCCCTGGAGGCGGGGCCTGCCTGTGCCCCACCCTCTCCCAGGAAGATGAGGGGCCCGGCTCTGTGAGGGCATCGAGCAGGTGCTGGTGTGCTCGGATTCACTGTGTGCCAGGCTGTTCTGAGCATTTCCTGCAGGGTCTCGGGCAGTGTCACTGCAACCCTGGGGCTCTTGTCCCAGCCTCACGGATGACACACTTCAGCCTCGGGGGTATCCTAAGTGCCAGAGCCAGGACTTGACCCCAGGGCGATGGGCCCCAGAGCCCTCGCTTCTAACCAGGAGCTGTACTGTGCAGAGGACCTAGACCTTGAAGGGTCGCCGGGTCCTCCATTGCAGCCGGAGGGAAGGGCGCTCTGGAGGGTGGGGTCAGCAGGGCCAAGGCAGGCTTCTCCGGAGGGTTTGGGAGCATGAAGTCCGGTGTTTCTGTAGCCTATGAAAGGGAACAGGAGCGGAACGGTGGGAAATGGTTAGGGCAGGAGCCTGGCACAAGGTCTCAAATGCCTGGCTAAGGAGTCTGACTGGCTGGACACCGGTCCCTGAATCAAGGAGTCAGTGAGTAGTTTGGGCAGGTCCTGTAGATGGAGGAG